CAAGGAACAGGAATACGGCTTCTCCCCTGTGTGCAGTCTCTGATTGTGTCTATAGACTGGAATTCCATGAAAAAATTTCCCATACTCATGACAGCAAATATGGTTTTTCCCCCTGTGTGAGATCTCTGATGTTTATAAAGAATGGACTTTCGTGAAAAACATTTCCCACACTCAGGACAGGAATAATGGCTTTCTCCAGTGTGAGATCTCTGATGCTGGACAAGATGTGATTTTATTACAAAACATTTCCCGCACTCAGAACAGGAATACGGCTTGATCCCCGTGTGAGATCTCTGATGTATGGAAAGATTGGACTTATTTAAAAACATTTCCCGCACTCAGGACAGGAATGTGGCTTTTCCCCCTGTGTGAGATCTTTTTATGAACATCAAGTGCAGATTTAGAATGGAAGCATTTCCACACTCAGTACAGAGAACTCTTCCCTGTAGAAGGCTGGCCCGGTACCGCACAGTCTGAGGTTCCTCAGGATACAGGAATCCATGGTCCATCTACACTGGGTGGTGGCGGACGTCATTGGAGGGAGCCGGGTTTTCCTCCTGACTATACTGTGTGATGTCCTCATCTTCTACTTTCCAGTCTGAGACAAAGTGAGACAATCCTCGGAGGTTTTCCTCATCTCCCGGCCATGGACTAAAATACAAAGACAAAGAGGATTACTAGACAGAAGCTGATTGGTTCCCCCAAAACCAGGACTCCGCCCACATCAAACAGCATGGTCTCTGAGGAGCTTACAATTCCACCCTCAACCCTCATACCTAAACCACCCAAGAAACAGAGTGGATGGAAGGGTCCCACCCAATACCGCTCCAGGAATTTAGTCAGTACCAATCACCTGTAAGAACACAGCCCAAAAACAACATACAAACTTTTAATCGTTTTGAACCATTACAACTTATGCCTGATGAAAATATAGGTTCTAGGAATTGTGAATGGTATCCCACTCAAGGTTACAGGGAATAATCAATTTAAAAAACCTGTTCAGGATTACAATAAACAAAGCCACTTATAACTACAATAATAAAGGGAACACATACTATGATTCCCCTAGAGCAGTGGTCTCGGCAAGCCGTGGCTCGCGAGCCACATGCGGCTCTTTACACACTTTAATGCGGCTCTTCTGTGTGCCGGCGCCCGCTCCCCCTCCCTCCTCTCGGCGGTGCCGCCCCAAAAGTCAGGACTCTGCAGCTAGCCCAGCAATGGGCAAACTACGGCCCACGGGGCCGTATACGGCCCGGCGGACCTTTTAATCCGGCCCGCGGAGCGTGGCAAACAGTGGCTGTCAGGATGTAGGCGGGGCAGCGTGACAAACTCCTCTCCTCTCACAGTCCGCCCTGAAGACCGGAACGGCGCGGAACACAACGGCGAGAGGAACGCGCGAGCAAAGGTAAGTGAATTGACACAATATGGGGAATGGGGGGAATTACTATAGGGGGGATGAATTACTATATGGGGATAATACTATACTGATGAATTACTATATGGGGGATGAATTACTATATGGGGGATGAATTACTATATGGGGGATGAATTACTATGGGGGAATTACTATAGGGGATGAATTATCTATGGGGATGAAATTACTATATGGGGGATGAATTACTATAGTGGGGGATGGGGGATGAATTTACTATATGGGGATGAATTACTATAGGGGGGATGAATTACTATATGGGGGATGAATTACTATGGGGGGGATTGAATTACTATAGGGGGATGAATTACTATAGGGGGGATGAATTACTATAGGGGGATGAATTACTATAGGGGGAAATGAATTACTATATGGGGGGATGATTTACTATGGGGGATGAATTACTATATGGGGGATGAATTACTATATGGGGGATGAATTACTATGGGGGACTAATGAATTACTATATGGGGGATGAATTACTATATGGGGGATGAATTACTATGGGGGATGAATGACTATTGCATTACTATATGGGGTGATGAATTACTATGGGGGAATTACGATAGGGGATGGAATTACTATAGGGATGAATAACTATATATGGGGGATGAATGAATGAATTACTATAGGGGGGATGAATTACTATATTGGGGGATGAATTACTATATGGGGGATGAACTTACTATGGGGGATGAATTATCTATATGGGGATGAATTAGCTATATGGGGGATGGGGGATTTAATTACTATATGGGGGATGAATTACTATAATGGGGGATGAATTACTATATGGGGATTAATTACTGATGGGGAATGATTTTACTGGGGGAGTTTTTCAAAAAATGTGGCTCTCAAAATAAATTTCAATCGTGGTTTTGGCGAGATTTTGGCTCAGTTGAAAAAAAAGGTTGCCCACCACTGTCCTAGAGGAAATTATGGAACACCATCAAGAGATGATAATTGGAGGTCATCTGGTCCCAGAACATATAGTGAACAACAGGGAAGACACCAGTATGATTCACCACGTAGAACTAATGCCCACTTCCCTCCTCCAACAAATAACCCTAGACACCAGGGAGAGAACTTTAAACCTACCCCGGTGCATTTTTTTAGGAGGAGGGAATACGCGCAAGAGAAGCGCTCGAGCAGAGGACAAAGGGGAGGTAAAAGGGTCAACAAACCCAAAAAAGAGCAAAACGTAAAAGGGAAAGGCATTTTTAATCTCAGTGGAAAAATACAACTTACACCCCCAGAAATTGGTCTATTAGACAAAGGATTACAATTTGCACCTTATAATAGCTTGACAAGTTTCGTACATTTATTGATGTGCACAGATTTGTCAGGTCTATATCGCTGAAAAGACATTTTTTTTCAGAATCCTATCATTAGAAATACATCTAGCACTACTATTTACTCCAATTTATGAAATGCATCCCTATTCAACCCCCCTCAGCAAGCTCAGGACTATATAAATGTGTTTAAAGAAACAGTTCTTAAAGATCTGACTGCCGTTAAAAACAAAAAATGATAAAGAGAACCATGGATTTCAACAGCCATAGATCCCCTCCTTGATCGGAAGGATTTAGTTATACGCCCTGCCGATAAGGGAGGAGGGGTGGTAATAATGAAGAAAGAAAATGATACTAAAGAGGTGCAGAACATTCTTAGTGACACCGATACATACCGTCCTTTATTAACCATTTGCAGCCCGGCCAATGGCCGTTTGGCGGTCGGCAAAAGTGGTTCTGCATTCCAGGTGCACGCCATTTGGCCTGCCTCCCGCACATGCTCAGTTCGCGCAAACTGCAGAGCGGCACAGCGGCCGCGATCTGTCACCGGCCGTGTACCACGGACACGGCCGATGACACATCTGAGTACCGGCCCTTGTTGCTGGTACCATGTGACCTGCTGTGACCAATCACAGCAGGTCACATGACAGTTGTATACAATGGATGGCTTCATTCATGCCATCCATTGTATACTAGTGCCTAGCTGTGAATGGTCACAGCTAATCATATGCACATGTCATGTGATTAGCTGTGACCAAATCACAGCTAAGCACAAAAAAAAAAAAAAAAACCTGAATGAATCGAATTTCATTCAGGTAAATGCTTGCTTATAGCAAAGTAATTCTTTGCTACAAGCAAATTGTGTAAAAAAAAAAAATAAAAAAAATACTGATCACTTCCCAAAGTAGTACAATGTTACTATGGTAACATTGTACTACTTTGGTCATAGTGAAAATATGAAAAAAAAAATCTTAAAAAAATAATAAAAAAAATTAATAAATAATAAAATAATAATAATAAAAAAAATATATATATATATTTTTTTTTTTCATACTGTCACCAGTCAATGTCCCTGTTCACCGCCATGCCAGTTATATGATGACGCTGTAACTGCACTGGTGACAGGATGTAAAAAAAAAATAGTGAAAATAATTTTTTTAATTTTTTAATTTTCCGAAAAATTATGACAAAAAAAAAAAAAATACAACTTCAAAAAACTCGCCATTCCTCTTATGAAGTACGTCGGACTGTCTACTCTGCAAAAAGGGGTCATTTGGGGATATCTGTACTGTTCTGACATTTGGGGAGATATCTGTACCGTCCTGACATTTGGGGGATATCTGTACCGTCCTGACATTTGGGAGATATCTATACTGTTCTGACATTTGGGAATATCTGTACTGTCCTGACATTTGGGGGATATCTGTACTGTCCTGACATTTGGGGGATATCTGTACTGTCCTGACATTTGGGGGATATCTGTACTGTTCTGACATTTGGGGGATATCTGTACTGTCCTGACATTTGGGGGATATCTGTACTGTTCTGACATTTGGGGGATATCTGTACTGTTCTGACATTTGGGGGATATCTGTACCGTTCTGACATTTGGGGGATATCTGTACTGTCCTGACATTTGGGGATATCTGTACCGTTCTGACATTTGGGGGATATCTGTACTGTCCTGACATTTGGGGGATATCTGTACTATCCTGACATTTGGGGGATATCTGTACTGTCCTGACATTTGGGGATATCTGTACTGTTCTGACATTTGGGGAGATATCTGTACTGTCCTGACATTTGGGGGGATGTCTGTACTGTTCTGACATTTGGGGATATCTGTACTGTCCTGACATTTGGGGGATATCTGTACTGTCCTGACATTTGGGGGATGTCTGTACTGTTCTGACATTTGGGGGATATCTGTACTGTTCTGACATTTGGGGGATGTCTGTACTGTTCTGACATTTGGGGGATGATCTGTACTGTTCTGACATTTGGGGGATATCTGTACTGTTTCTGACATTTGGGGGATATCTGTACCGTTCTGACATTTTGGGGGATATCTGTAACTGTCCTGACATTTGGGGGATATCTGTACCGTTCTGACATTTGGGGATATCTGTACCGTCCTGACATTTGGGGATAGTCTGTACCGTTCTGACATTTGGGGGATATCTGTACTGTCCTGGACATTTGGGGGGATAATCTGTACTGTCCTGACATATTGGGAGATATCTGTACCGTTCTGACATTTGGGGGATATCTGTACCGTTCTGACATTTGGGGGATATCTGTACCGTCTTGACATTTCAGTAACAATTCTGTGTCTGTCCCCTAAGTAACATTCTTTGGCCCTAAGTAACGGTTTCTGTGTCCCTCAGTAACAATATCTGTGTCCTCAGTAACGGGGGGTTCAGTGTCTGTCCCTTAGTAATGGCAATTTCTGTTGTCCCTAAGAACGTTTCTGTGGCCCTGGGGGTAAATTCTGTGCCCTCTAACAATTCTGTTACCAAAACAATTTCTGTGTCCCCTGATAGTTGTCCCTCAGTAACCATTCTGTGTCCCCTCAGTAACATTCCTGTCCCCGTTGAGTAACAAT